TAGTAGCTTATCAGTGGTGACTATGTCAGTTAATGTACATATGGCAGAAATGTACGGAAAAATCTATTAAAGACGTAATCAAACAGACGATGAACACTATTAACAGCAATTATTATATGTTGCAATCAAACTTATAGCAAAATTTGGTAGTTCTGTATGTTGTTTCAGGGTTGGCATCAAGTGAAGAAGTGTCAGTGAAAGATATTGAGCTTACCAAGCTGTGCCAGCAGCTTCCTCTGTTCCTCCAGGATCTCACTCTGGGACATCGCCTGCAACTTTGTCTGATTCTCCTCATGGATTTTCATTGTCTCCATGGCACTATTTGCAATCCCAAGTCCTTGACCCGTAAGTAGCACAGGGCCACCAACACGGTCTGTAACAGAAGCCCAATCAGAAATCAAGCATGCTTTAGTTAACCATGAAAAACTTTGTAGAATGTGACAGCACTTACCCATTACATTTGACTCAGGTCGCTCAGTCTCCATATTCTCCAATGGTGAGAAGCTCACATGTCTAGATGCAGAAGACTGATCTCTAGTCTCTGAACAATTTAAAGACTGAACATCTTCATTCTTAGCCCTTTGTGCTGCAATTTGACGTGCAAAAATACTTTTTCTTCCTTTAGGAGCTCTTTCCTGCCCCTAAGCGCAGTGAGAAATACAGAAACGTCAGAGAAACAAACAAGCTGGGAGGGATTTGTATGCATGTATAATATTTGCTCACCTCACTTTCCATTACAGATCTATGTAAGACTTTAGGGAAAGCAGTGCCTGTGATACACGGGAGCGACACAGGTACTGAACTCGTGTCCCTCTCCTTTAGGAAGACATAAACAATAAGCATGGCACTGGCATGTTGACATTCAGTCAAACAACAGGAACACTGTAATAAATGTGACTCACAATGATTCTAGATAGGACAGCACTGATGTGGGTATCATGTCTGTCCAGTCGCTCTCCTGGGTCCTCATCTTCAAAACGCACCCGCTCCTGTTTGAAGCGTGACTTCTTTGGAGGTGCAGGGGTCAAGGTGGGAAGCTCATCTGGAAGATCTGAAGGTGTAGATTAAATAATTTCAGTACAAGGTTAATATAAGTTTGTTTTATATCAGCCTGATCTTATTTAAGCAGGTCTAATGAAACTCATCATTCAATTTGTTCAAGAAAGAAATGTTTAAAGATAACTGACAGAACGCTCAGAAATGTCTAACCTACCTTCTATAGTCACAACATCTCTCTGGTTTCTCTGATCCTGTGCATCAGCTGCGGCAGCGTCTCCTCTGCGTTTATCAGGGCGCTTCGCTACAGCGACAGTGGACTGACCGCCCGCCGCCAGAAGCTCCTGCTGCTCCCGGAGCAGATCCGCCTCGCTGTCCGTGGGCTTGGGACGCCGCAACATCCCAGCTCCCGAATTAACACAAGGGCGTCTAATGGTTCGGAGGAGACTGTCAGTAATAATAATGATTCAAGATTTAGCTCTCAAATTTGCCATTTCATCTTGCACTTCACTGACTGACAGTCTGAAAGTTTTCTTGTTGGCTTGCAGAGGATAATATGCACATTTCCAGCAAGTTTCTAATATTATTAATAATCAGCCCGTGATCAGCACAGCAATGATGGAAATATTCCTTTATTGTAAATCCAGTTAGGTCATCTATCAGCTATTTGACTGAATATGTACAATAACCGCACAGCCACAACCAACACATGTAGAGTTTACAGACGTAACTCCATTTCCGGGTTATGTGTAGCCATTACAAAATAAAAGCCTTTCGGTTTAAGAGCTTTTTTTTACATAAAAGATTGCATCGTTATTAAATTATATAAATATATAATATAACACAAAATAATGCATTTAGTTTTATTATATATTCTTAATTTTCTTTTTATTTACATCACTAGAACCTTATTTTATTTGCCCTTTTCTATCGTCGAAATTATATTAAAATATACTATAATATTAATTTATTTTATATAAAAAATATTAAATAATAAATATAATTTTATAAATATATCAACGACGAAGAGGCTTGATATAAAGGATAACAGAAATTATATTTGAACAAGAATATCCTAAGAGAAGCTTTATTATAGAGATATTGTCTTAAAATGCATGTCTGAGTAGTATCTCTGGCTTTCCTCTGATCACTTTGGCAGTTTATACATGTAGGTACATCTGTTTATCATCACATAGGCTTATGTTTATCATTATTCTGTCTAATAAGTTCATATATTAGCAGGGAATTGACTTTTAAAACATTTATACCCTATAAAATGCTTAATATTTAATTAGTAAGTTAGAAATTAGTTAATTCTTGTTAAATTTGTTGAATATCTTCACGGACAATATTTATGACAAACATGGCAAAACAAGCAACATCTTTATCTAATTATGCTGATCGCATCTCGCGCAGTTCAGCGAGTTAAGTAAATACAAATCAAAGAATCAGCTTCGGTCTCCATGAGACTTTGGAGAGCAGTTGTCGTTTTTTTTCTTCTCCGTCCTCCGCAGTCTCACCGCGGTCTCCGCCCCCCAGTCTGCCTGAATGGGAACACCCAGAGCGGGATCCCCGACGTTCCTGGCATCCATCCCAAACACAGCACCGCCGGACAAAACAACGTCCTGTTGAAGCGTGTTTCATTGAGAAAAGCGGCGTATAGCAGATAACATATTTGACTGCAATGTTACACCTGCCGCAGGATGTTGTCTCTAGATCTGGAAACTGATACTACTGCGGAGGACACAGCGCCAAGCACCCCAGATGGTGGCGCGGAGACACCGGCCAGTCTCGATGTGCTGGAAGAGGTATGAGATGAGTCTTATGAGTAGGCTACTAGATGTACCATAGTCATCATGGAGATGGGATTTATGCATTATAACGCCTTGTAGACTCTAATTGTCTTAGTGTGGTTTGACTTGTTCCAGTAAAAGGCTGGTCACAGTAAAGGTATGTCTGGGATTGAGAAAATGTTATTGTAAATTCACTTACATTTGTTGTTTAAAAGAAACTGGGTTTTTGTTCCCCAAGCAATTCCTCTGCTTCCAATTGATGCATAAACTTTATGGTGCACAAGTTATTGATAATCATCCATAATGAAACTCTGAGTTCTTTGCAGTATAGTCAAAGATCACTGACTGCAGATCCAGATTAATAAACCCACTAGGATGCAATGCTTTAATCTAATTTAGGCTGTATATGGTTTACGCTTTAATTATTGTGGTGGTATTAAAATCATGCTACTGCTTGATGTACAAATTCCATAATGACAATAAATTTGACAAGACTCCAAGAAGGACAAACAGATCAGGTATAGCTCTAAATCTGTTGTCATATTCACTGCACTCAGCCGATTTGTGCATTGATCAACACCTTTGTAATACACTGCTGTAATTATGGAATTGCCACTGTGGAAAAGATTATATGCCTGTTAGCTTGAGAATCACCCTCACCACAGGGAGTTAGAGCAGATATGTTTAACTCAGTATTTTGGATAAAACCTTTCATATATCACGCTAAATAGCCTGCCACTGTTGCTGATTCCAACCCGCATCTCTGATATTAATTTTATTAGTGCATATTGCCTTGTAAAGCCTTCTGGTATGGCCTGCCAGTTCTGTGAATGTCCCTCAGCTCATCTTTCACACAAATCCTGCTTGCTGAATCTCAGAACTGTGATTTGATCTTCTCTAAAAATTAAATTTAAACTGGTACGTCGATTTCACTTGGTATTTTTAGATGTTATTCTTTATCTACAGCAGTAAACTACTATATATACACTTTTAAAAATGCTGGGTTAAAAAGGGACAAACCCAGCTATTGGGTTGTTTTGACCCAGTGGTTGGGTTCAAAACAACCCAACCGCTGGGTCAAAACAACCCAATAACTGGGGTTTTCCCTTTTTTACCCAGCGCTGGGTTATATTTAACCCAGCATTTTTTTGTACAAATTACTGTCATTGATTTACATATTTTATGGGTAATTTGAAATTAACAGTCCAAGCAAAGCTTTCACTAAATCATACTATAGAATACTGTAAATTGTACTGCATATTGTACTGTAAAATATGAAGAAACTGCAAGAATCTCAGTGTTGTGTGTGTGTGTAAGTTTGAGAGAACAGACTTTCATGAGTTTAACTGTGTGTGTGTGTGTGTGTGTGTGTGTGTGTAATTTCTGACAGATCATGAAGAGGAACCTGAATAATGTGAAGAGACTGGGTCAAAACAACCCAATAGCTGGGTTTGTCCCTTTTTAACCCAGCGCTGGGTTATATTTAACCCAGCATTTTTTAGAGTGTACAAATTTACTGCTGTAGATAAAGATAACGTCTAAAAATATCAAGTGAAATCAACATTATTAGGCTATATCACATTATTAAATATATTAATTACGCTGCACAAATTTGATTTAATAAAACATTTAATTTCTTTAACTAAAAACTTTATTGAAGAGGATTCAAGTAGGCTGGTGAAGGAATGTTTGTTGTTAGTATTTTAATTTTGAGCAGTTGCTTCAAATTAAACTTCATTTTAGAGATGGTACCACAGTAAACCGACAAACAAAATCAGTGCCCCACATTCGGTATTCCTTAAGTCATTATCAAGTTTCATGTAATCTGCTTAGGCATCTTAGATCACAACCATATTATGTCCAAAGTTTCACTTATCCAACAGCAGTGAGGCTAAGAGCAGTTTTTCTACAGTATGCTTTTGAATGGCTGACTGTTAGCTCTGTCACAGTATTCTCTTTCATGTGGGATTTCCATTATTGATGTTGCACCTCACTCTCCCCTCTTTAAAAGCCTTTCAACCCTTATAAATATCAGAAGCTGTGGTATTAGCTGCTGAAATGTACAGACACTTATGGGACAACAGCATACTTTCTCAACTCAGATATCATCTGAGTCCATTTTATATTCAAAACACAAACTTTTCAGATTTTGGATCAGTTAAGTTAAATAAAATTAGCCTCTTAGTATGTTTTATTCAGTGAACTTTCAGTAATAACTGACATTTTCATCATAATTTGTATTCAGAAGCTCAGCACCCTTGAGTGAGATTCAAACCCACAAACTCAGAATTAGGAGCAAAGATCCTTTTCCACTTACAACTTCTGTGCATTGCCAAAGATGTGTACCAAGTCCAGAGTTAGCACACAAAAGCATTGCTGAGCTACTCTCCTGCAGGTTTTGATTTTGAATATAAAAAAATCAATTTGATAGATTTTGTCTGGCATTGATTGAAGACACAAGACAAAGTTGCAATGACATCCACCATATTTTGCTTCATCCATATCATTGCCTGGATTCACAGTGCTCTATGATTTTCACGATGTGGAAGAGAAGGCAGAAATTGTGGAATAGCATCATAAAAATGGAATTACCTGTAAAATGTTCAAATGGTTAACCAGTTTAATAGACATAATCTGAAGACTTCGTGCCAGGATGTACTGTAAGTAATTAAGTCTGAACTGAGGGATTGCAACAAATCCTTAGTCTTGTCAGGCCCCACTTTCTCACATAGATCTATATATCCCTAAGGGTTTACTGTCAGAGCATTGTCTGCACTTTATTTGAAATAGACTCAAATGAATGTCCATTGCAGATACAACTATTTGAAAATCTGGAATCTGAGGGTGCAAAAAAATCAAAATATTGAGAAAATCGCCTTTAAAGTTGTCCAGATGAAGTCCTTAGCAATGCATATTACTGATCAAAAATGAAATTTTAGTTTTGATATATTTATGGTAGGAAATTTACAAAATATCTTCATGGAACATGATCTTTACTTAATATCCTAATGATTTTTGCCATAAAAGAAAAATCTATAATTTTGGCCAATACAATGTATTTTTGGCTATTGCTACAAATATACCCCAGCGACTTAAGACTGGTTTTGTGGTCCAAGGTCACATATGAGGTTTGCAACCCTGCTAAAATATGGGATATTTCCTAGCAAAAAATATTAAATCTATCTACCGATCAAAAGTTTGGTGTCAGTAGGATTTTGTAATGTTAGCTTGTAACACTCCAAAGAGAAAGGAAAACTTGAAATCGCATCATATGACCCCTTTAAGACCTTCGTTCATCTTTGGAACACAAATTAAGATATTTTTTTTATGAAATCGGAGAGCTTTCTGACCCTCCCATAGACAGCAACGCAACTACCAAGATCAAGGCCCAGAAAGGTAGTAAGGACATCTTTAAAATATGTGACATCAGTGGTTCAACCGTAATTTTTTAAAGCTATGAGAATACCTTTTGTGTGCAAAGAAAACAAAAATAGTGACTTTATTTAGCAACTTCTTATCTTATCAAAGCCTGTTTACAAAGTCTAGCATGTTTACATCTGCCAAATGCCAATGTCTGTATACAGTGTGTGCATATATATAAATTTATCTTGTAATATTTATACACAAACATACATCATACATATATTTATTTTACCCTCTGCACAACTCTGTATACAGTGGATTGATTTGAATAACTTTAATGTACTTTAAGTGTGCACCAAACATACATTAATGTAATATACAAGTATCGGATCGGGACTCAGTATCAGCAGATACTTAATATTCAATGACTTGGATCGGGGGCACAAAAAACCTGATCGGGACATCCCTAGTAATTTTTTTTTTTCATTATTCTATTTAGCTTTAATTCTTTTTTAAGTTTTAGTCATTTTAGTACTTCAACTTAAACTTATTTCAGTTAGTTGGTAAGGCAACATTTCTATTTTTGAATTTTTCAAAATACATTTTTTAAGTTTTTCATATAATATTTATATTTATTATTTTATTGTTATTTTTCAGCTTTATTTCAATTACCAAAAACATTGTTTAATAGTTTTAATTTTAGTTAACAGCACTGATCTAAAGATATTTTATCCTTTTGTCCAATATCATTTCCTCATATAAGTGACATTAAATCTCTGATGGTTTGTATTGTATTCATTACCTCTTGTTTTCTTATTCACAGTATTCCCAGCAAGCCTGTGTGCCTTACTGTGCATTCACACCGCTGCCGTCGAGCGCGTCAAAAATCGCTCTGGCCGCCCTGCCAACAACGCTGTAGAAAGATTCGTGGACGCTCTGACGTAGATCGAATGCTTCTCTTGTATTTAAAGGGGTCGCAAAGCAAACACGCTTGTTGATCTTGTGCAGACTGACCACAAGTAGGGTAACTTTAAGTTAACCTCATTAAATATTGCTGTGGACAAAGTATTAAGATCCTTTACCTCATAATGTATAAAGCACTAATACCACACTGTAAAAATACTCTGATACAAGTAAAAGTCCTGCATTGAAAATGTTACTTAAGTAAGTATAATCAGGAAAATTGATTTAAAGGTTTAAAAGTCAACAGGGACTATTATACTATTATTTATTATATCATTAGATTATTATTTCTATAACGTTAATGCACATCAGCAACTCACCAGGAACACCAACAATCTCAGACACCTTGGTCCACGCATACATTTTTTATGTATGTCCCTGTACGCAAACAGGGACACGTCATAGATTATTGGGAAACCCGCCACAGCAATAATCAACCTCTCCTCCATTTTGCTTGGGAACTAATGTGGTCAGAACCAAAGTTTACAGGACTGCGTTCTCTGGAATCTCTCAAGCGGTGGACTTCTACGTTCCGATTGGTTGCCGCCGAACCGTCATAGCTCATTACCATAAAGTTGACCTTATTTCAACTCTCCTCGACGCCCTCAACGTCCAAGTCGCGCCGCTGACTTCTGGCCACTTTGACGCTCTCGACGGCGGCGGTGTGAACGCATGGTTGCAATATGTTTATTACTTTTTCTCTTTCTCATTATTCCTTGTAGCAATGGCCAATAAAGCAGTCCCTAAGTGCCTCTATGTGCCGCGAGACGCACTGGCGATGCCTCCTCCTTTCGCTGCTCATGTACAGCTGCCTGGGTGCCGTGACCTGGTGTCAGCTCACCCAGGTCACCAAGCTGAGCTTCGATTCCTCCAGTACTTCCCTCACAGCCTCAATGAACTCTCTCAGAGGAGGAGGTCGCGCCATGATATACCACGACAGCCCTTGCTCTGATGGTTACGTGTACATCCCCTTGGCCTTCCTGCTCATGCTCTACGCCGTTTACCTTATGGAGTGCTGGCACTGTCGCGCCCGCAGCGAGTTACAATGCAAGGCCAACGTTGAGAGCGTGTATGACAGGGTTCTGCGCATGCGTCAAGCCCGACCGTGCGTATGGTGGAAAGCCATCAGTTACCATTTCGTACGCAGGACTCGACAAGTAACGCGTTACCGGAATGGAGACGCCTACACAACCACGCAGGTTTATCACGAGCGTGTTAACACACATGTAGCCGAGGGCGAGTTCGACTACAGTTGCTGCGGAATGAGAGACGTCTCGCGCAACTTGCGCGGACTGGAGGGTCACGCGGCGACACGGTTGCATTTCTCCAAGTGCTTTAGCTTCACAGGAGCAGGACCTGAAAATGCTTACCTCAACCAACGAGCCAGGTTCTTCTCGGAAATCGAGGGACTGGATGACTACATGGAAGCCCGCGAAGGCATGCTGCTGAAGAATGTCGACTTTAAGGAGCACCTCATTGCTTACGTGGATCCCGACCAAATGCCGTGGTACACCTCGCGGGTCACCTTCTGGTTGGCGGCTCTCCTCATGCTCTCCTGGCCACTGCGAGTCCTGATCGAGTACCGCACGGCGTTTGTGCAATACCAAGTCGAGAAAATCTTCGGACTAGAGTATAGCAACAACAGTCCATCTCCAGAAGCCGACGCCACCACGAGAAACACTCGCTACGGCCTTCCAAGAGCAGAAACGGTCGACAGTACGGAGCTGGAATGGCACATTCGCTCAAACCGCCAGCTTATACCAAGCTACTCAGAGGCCATGCTGATGAACCTGGGGACTTCTGGGTCAAACCACAGAGACAGCATCTCCTCCAACCAATTGCTGTTAGACAGCTGCTCAACGCAGAGCTACGGGACACTGGTGCAGAACTGTGAGCACTGTTGCCAACACGAAGGCGGGCAAAGACGGCCGACTATCAGCTCTAGCTGTTCCTCCATCTTCTCTCGCCACACCTTCCACTCCCGTTTGTCCCTGGACACCTCGCACTTCTCGCTGTGCCGCATGTACGGCTCCAGGCGCACCGTGGGACTGTGGAGGAGCCACAGTAGTACACTTACAGAGCGCTGCGGCCCCGATGAGCAGTGCTGCAGGTCTTACACCAGTCAGCTTGCGCTTAATGACAGCCCGCCGAACTACCAAGATGCCCGCTTCTTCCCAGTCCTCATTGTACATCGGCCTGAGGGCTGTGGGGACTCCTCTGAGGTGAGGAGATATTATGTTCGGAGAGGCTCCTGTTGTGTGGAGACTTCGGTTTAAAGTGGCTTGAAGTGGTCAAGCTGACTAATTCAGCGATAGAAAACATTTGTTAAACATTATTATTTGCACTATGCAGAAAGTGGACTTGATGGCTGTTGCTTGATGCCGAACTGATGAAGTGTATTCTCTGAACCGTCTTGCTCTAACAGCTAACATGTGCAAAATTAGAAATGTGGCTTATTCAGTGCAGCACTGAAGACTGTTTTTGTTTACATTTTGATTTCAATTAAAGGGCTGGATTGAAATGATCAATAAATAGAACCAGTTTTTCATACTATTTATGAACAGCTGGCTGACAAATATGCCAGCTTTAATAAATTCATATAAAAAAGAAAATCTTTCAACACATTACACATCTATTTTACGTCAAAAACATTGCTTGCATTGAATGTTTGTTGTCACTGAAGGATAGTGTTATGACTGCCGACTTGCTCTAAGAGAGAAGAGAGAAAATAAATTCAATAGCTGCCATTTTGCCTTTGTTACTAATCTTAAATGTTTTTTAAATAAATAAATAATTTTATAACAAGTTATATATAAATAACAAGTTATTTATGAATATATATATATATGAATATATATATATATAATTAAAGACAAAGATTATTATTATTTTAACTGTCATTTTCATTATTATTATTATTTTATTTTGTTAATGCTAATGAATATGAACACTGAATGAGTATGTTGGCATCAAGAATTGTCTTTGATGTCTGGTTTATATAAGCAAAGGTTGCATGGCAATTTGCTTACATTGTTGAGAGAGACTCATCATATAACAATCCCCCTTATGGCCTGACCTGTATGTTTGAAGTAAGGATGTGAGAAAGTCAAGAAATGCTGTTGAAATGGCAGTGACTGTTAAAAAATAGTGCAGAATAAAATTGCTCCAATGCTAAAACATGAAAATGTCTACCGACTATTTTATTTGCTTTTAAATTAATATTTTTCGCAAACAACTTTCTCTCTTTAAATTTATGCACTGACCCATAGCCTATATTTAGTGCTGAATGAAGCATGTAAGTGATTGTTTTCCTACCTCCAAAGAATAGAGCTTGGGAAACTACGTCACTGCGCATTGCATTCTGGGTAGTTGCGGCCATGTTTGGGGACACACTCGTCAGCTGTCAGGATATTAGTACACAGCGATAATAAACAGAAATAACAATGGACCGAACGATGATCAAGTGTAAGATTACATATAAAGAAAAACTCAACAAGGAAGCAAAGTTGCGGTACTTAGAAAAAATCAAGACAATCAAGGAACTCGATCCATACGAACTCAAAGAGTGGTCCAGTGATCTTAACGAGCTACCGCACGTAACCTTCCCTGATGTATTTTCTTACCTTGTTTGTGGTGGCAGTGCGTACACATTTGAGCAATTTAAAAATTATAAATAAATCTCTCGAGGCCCACCTGCAATTTACAAATGGATGGTGTTTATGCATAGGTAGCATGTTTAATGTAAGGCTGTCAAATCGATTAATTGCATCCAAAATAAAAGTTGTTTATATAATGTACGTTTTATGTATATATAAATACACATGCATATGAATATATAAGAAATATTTACATGTGTGTATACTGTATATAGGCCTACACATGTAAATATTTCTTATGTATGCATGTGTATTTATATACACATTTAAATATACACAGTACACAAACATCAATCACAAACTTTTATTTTGGATTTGATTAATCAAGATCAATTGATTTAACATCCATAGTTTATGGTTTCATTATAACAACGCTGGGGCACATATTAGTCAAGGCACAGCATACAGTCACAATCTTGTCCAGGAACGTCATGTCTTCACCTTGACATGGGAGTAACATGCTGACTGGTACAATTCCGTTTAGTATGGTGTACTTTGTGCGTACACATCCAATCACCCTCTCCACATGAACCCTGAGGTGAGCTATCCGGCATGTTGCCTCCAAATCTTTTGCATCCAGCTGACTGCGTCCTCTTGTGAATGCAGGTATTTTCACTTCTGCACACGTGAGTCCAACACGGTCTCTGATGTCAAATCCGCGATCTGCCAACACCAAGTCCCCAGGCAATAGTTTATTAAGAAGACCACTATTCTCAGTCACATGCTTGTCACTGACACGACCTCCCCACCCTTGGGAAATGAAAGAGATAGATCCTCGTGGTGTAATGCCAAGGAGATACTTTAGGGTGTGCTGGTGTTTGTAGTGGGAAAATGTCTGCGCTCTAGCTTTGAGATTTGATGCTCTTTCAATGCGAATTTCAAAGCAGCCCACAATAACTGCTACTCGATTGCCAGAAGCCTCTATAAACTGATGTGGCATGGTGGCCTGCATGCAATGTCTCTCTGGCCAGTGCACCAAGGGTTTGAGATGTTTAAACATTGTACCTACGGTATCTCTGAATGTGGTGGACACAGTCTTTCGGTCCACAGAGAAGAGGTATGCAATGTGCTGTATTGGGAGATTCATCCTGAGGCGCATCAGTGTTGAAAGGAGCATCTGAAAAGGTGAGAGTTTTCGGCCAGTCTGTGGCAGGCAGGGAAGAAGCTGTTTCAACACACCCATCAGAAGCGCAAGACATGGAAGCCCAGTGTAGTACTTCACCTTTGCATCATCATCTTTAAAAGAATCCTCATCCATCTTCTTTTGAGCAAGCTCTTCCTTCAGTCTCCTGTTCTCCTCCAACAAGCAGTTAATTTCAGCACGCCTGCAACTACAAAGATGGCATTCCTGCTGTTCTGCAGTGTTGTAACTTGAGTCTGCGTCATCCATTTGTGAAGCATCATCTGCTGTTGCAGCTTCATCCATCAGTCTCTGGCCAGCTACATCTAGTGGTGCAGGTGCTGCATGATCCCCTGTGACAGATTGCAGTCTCCTTGTATTCCAGTTAAACTGCCCAGGGAGCGTTGCTTTAACTTCTGTGTGCCCGAGATGCAATGATGGTACCCAGTCAGGATCGCACTCTAGCATTTCATAGGCTGGCTTGCCTAAAAAGAAAAGATCAAATGATTTAATTAGTTATGTAGTTATTCAGCCAGTTACCCAGTGTTTGTCAGGATTGTGGGTAAAGATAAGGCAAGGACTCAAATGCAGAAAGCAAAGGGCTTTATTACACAGACGAGAGCGCGCGAGCGCGACCCAAGTGAACTCGAACCGCACGCTCACACAAAAACAAGATACATGAGTGTCAGGGCCAAACCAGACCAAAGTGACAGAACCCTAAAGTTAGCGGTGTAACAACAACTCCATGTTTGCACTGCTAGTGGTAAAAACAACAACAACAAAAAGTTAGACGTGTTTTGTTTATAACTTACCTTAAACTAACTTTGTGAAAATGCTGTGAACGAACAAGCGTGTTTCGGGAAATGTTGTTGAAGGTAATGGTTTTCCTTCTTACTGCTGCTACCCAAGTCATGCGACGCCGCTTTGTTAACTCTGAGACCTGAGATCCAAGGTGCTGTTTCCAGGCAGGAAAGCAGAAAAATCTCAATCCATTTGAGATTCGGTTTCCACGCCGGTGTTCTGACGATTTGTACCCTGTCAGATTTTGCTACCTCCCATTAAAACAGATGATAGCATAATTCGATAGCGAAAAGTGCTACCTATCAGATTTAGCTTCCAGCATGATATTAATAAAGTGTGAGGCTTTATTAACATGTACACCTACCCCAACCCTAAACCTACCCTTACAGTAGGATAAATACAGTGTTGGTAGCATAATCTGATAGGTAGCATTATTTGTCAGAACACCGGTCGTGAGTGCGATTATGGCAGCTAATTACACAACAAGCTTTCACCATTGATACGTATTTTTAGCTGTACAAAGCAAACAAAAGTGTCTATCACCAATCCAACACTGCTGTGTCCCTAAGTCCCAAAATGCATTGCGTTGCTGACGTCACGTTCCCAGAGACATCTGTTTCGGGAGTAAATAATGAATGCTGTAGTAGGCTATTTCGTAATTTTTAAGTCAATCTCGTGAGGGGAGTGAGGGGGTTTATGCATGTAAGTAAATGATGACACAATTACAATGACGTAAGAACGTTACTGAAAGTTTTACAATTTATTAAGATGTTGTTTACAACAAAGTGAATGCATCATGTAGCCTAATGATGACGCATTCATATGATGACACATAAAATCATGTCGCCACCTACTGGCCCCTAAAGACCCCTAATATGAATTAGTAGATTAATCTTTTTGGTTAACTGATTCAAAATATTTGACTCACTGGGATGAATCAAATCTCCACAGCGGTCGCTCTGCAGCCAAAACAAGCTCGTCTTGTTGCTATGCCAACATCTGAGAGTTGCCAGAGCTGTAGTAACTTTACCTTTGTCAGCGAACTGCTTTTCTTTTTTTCTTTGATATAAACTGCTTTGAATAATAAAAACTTTTCAGCGTGAGCTCTGATGTGATTTGTGCAGTTTGTCGGTAGGTGACTTCTCATAATAGCCAAAGTTGCACTTTTTTATTTTAATTTGTGTATGTATTTTTACTTTTTATTTGTTTGTTTATTTATTTTGCACCTTTATCATTTTCAATGGGTTCTTTTTATGTAGTGGTTTAAAACGGTAGCCAGATTTCTTTTGTTTTTAAGCCAGCAGGCTTTAAGAATCAAATAATCAATTTCTATTTGATCATCGTTTCCTTTTATAGACGATTTCTCATAAGGCCTCACTGGGAATCATGAATTTACAGCATGTAAAATGGAGACCAGAGCACCACAGCAAGCGCAGAGAGGACCGTCTGTACAAACAGCTTCTGAATAATGCAAGCCAGATCCTTTCTTTCTCCAAAGAAGTTATGGACGAGATGGGGGCCATTTCATACAGAAAAGCTGACTTTAGCTGGCTTTTTCATGCCACAGGCCCCTTAGCACCAGTTACCAGATTAAAGAAAATAAAGAGGCATGAGAACAATGAAATAGCCTGCAACATCACTCGTTTAACCCAAGAAGGCAGAATTTCAGTACAGACTCCTGTAGTGAACACTAAGGTACCTTTCTTGAGTCTTAGTGATCAAAACAAGATGTATGATGTGTTTAGAATAACAAATGCGTGCACACCTGTCTGAAGGAATTCTCAACAGAGGATTGTGAAGCCCAGAGCAGCAGGTGGCAGGAGTTTGCACAAAATAAGACGGGGCAACTATTACAGCTGAGGAAACAACACAGGCAGGACTATTACTTCATCATTTCTAAATACATCACCCTTAAAGGGATAGTCCACCAAAAAAAATTACATTCTATCATCATTTACTCAATCTCATGTCGTTCCAATCTTGCACTATTTTCTTTCTTCTGTGGAACATAGAAGAAAATGTTTTGAAGAATGTAGGTAACCAAACAGTTTCCGTTCGTTTTCCCTTCCATTGTATGGACAAAAATACTGTGAAAGTCAATGGGAACCGAAACCGTTTGGTCACCAATATTCTTCTTTATTTGTGTTCCGCAGGAGATAAAATGCATACAGGTTTGTAATGACACGCGGGTGAGTAAATGATGAGAGAATTTTCATTTTTGGGTGGTGCATACTGTACACCTACTTAGTCCAAGGCCTAAGCCACACTTGTATAGATTTTTGAGGTCTCTGTCCTTATTTAACAGAATACCAGGTTATGTGCTCTCTCCAGTAAGCACAGATCTGCAGAACCGCTTAAATAAGACAGCAACCACTGTGACCACCAAGCACATTGAGATCCCACAGGCCCCTCGGCTACAGGACATCTTGAATCCACGTGCTGTCACAAAGAACGTCTCTGAACAGGAGATCTTCTCAGGTAGACTTACACATGTATCTTGAATGTGAATGTTTACTTGCAGTTGAAGAACAGTATTAGAGTTAAAAATGTCATTGTGACATGGAAAGCTGAAAGATTCATATGTGCCTCAAATGTTTACATTTCTGTCTTCCATTTGCTTTAGCAGGAACTGGTAGAGCTGTAAGAGCAGAACAGCCAGGGATGGGCAAAGATACATCAAAATGTATTTTAAAACTAAATCAGCACCCTGATAAAGAGGTTGACTGGCACAAAGTATTTTATGTATTTTGAAAATACAAAAATACTAATCTTAAATGTATTTAAATACAAATTACATTTGATTTTTGCCGAAGGCTTTCAAATACAAAATAGTATTTTGTATTTCAAATACGTATTTTAAATACATGTATCTGAAATACTGCCCATCCCTGAGAACAGCAATGGATGGATCAGCCCATCAAAATTGACCATGTCCTCAAGCAGGGTCTCAGACCTCCTGACTTCAGCGGACAGGACCCTGAGATGCCCAAACAGTCTATGGCTGAACTTTCCACACTTCGCTATGCAGTTGATCAACGGAGGAATGCCTGCAACATCAGTAGGTGTTTCTTTTCACAGCTCTGTGCGCAATACAGGGGCGCCACTATGGTTTCTGGGCCCCCTGGACAGCATATTCAATCGCATTCCGGGAAGGTCCCCCTTGGGAGAGATCGCAATCGGTTCCCCTCGGTAGAAATCGTGTTTCCCCCTTGGGGGCCCCCCTCCATCGTTGGGCCCTTAGAATCGTCCTAACCTCCCCCACCCCAGCCCACCCACATACTGTAACTTATTATCAATGGTTATATTTATAGTCTATTAATAAATTCCACTTTTATTAAGTTTATTAAGTAATACACTTATGAAAAAAAAACATTGTTAGACTTACCTGAGATTTGTTAGCTATAGATAGATATCCAGTGTGTTATTTGCAGGAAAGCACCTTGGATACCTGCATACATTTTATTGTTTTGCATCGATTGTTCACATGGAAACTCCTTTTGAAAAATCATTATTTGTTTCATCTAGAGTTGCCCTTGCAGAGAGTGACCATCGAGGGCCTAAAAAGGGCTCTTAGTGACCCCTAATTACCCAGTGCGGCTGGAGGCCATCTTAACTTGTGCATTGGGAGCAATTAATGGACCACAAGAAGAGCTTGACCCAGGCAAAGCAGGCTAATCTGTCAGCTAAAAACACATTTTTCAATGCATACAAAATATATCGTAACATAATACAATATACTATTCAAAAGTTTGGGGTCAGTAAGAATTCATACTTTTATTCAACTATGACGCATGCTTGATCTGAAAAGAGCTGTTTTTGACAGGGTAAAAAATTTGTTTTTTACACTACCATTGATAAATTTTAACCAAACTATGTTACAGACTTTTCATTAAGACCCTAAAGAATCATATCAACTTGTGGAAAATGGGCATCCTATGACCCCTTTAATCAAAAGTAACAGTAAAGAATTTTACACTACTAAAAAATACATATTTCAAATACTGTAAATGTTGTATTTTACGTTCTATTCATCACAGGTTTCCACAAAAATATTAAACAGCACAACTGTTTTTAACATTGCTAATAATAAGAAATGTTTCTTGAGCAGCAACATCAGCATATTAGAATGATTTTTGAAGGATCATGAGACACTGAAGACTGGAGTAATGGCTGCTGAAAATTCAGCTTTGCCATCACAGGTATAAATGACATTTTAAAATATATTCAAATAGAAAACAGTTTTAAATTGTAAAATATTTCACAATACTGTTTTTACTGTATTTTTTTATCAAATAAATGCACACACACACACACACACACACACACACATATATATATATATATATATACATACATACATACTGTATATAATATGCAAACCCTTTTAAAGCATTAATTAAATAAGGTAGAAAATAAATAAATAATAGTGTATTAATAGTGTAAAATTACTCAAAAACTGATAGCTAATTCCTTCTTTGCTCAGGTCAACATAGTAAGGGATGCAAATTGAAGGCAGATCCTCAGGACCTGCAGGCTCTCATTGTCTCAGCGCTTGATGACCCAGTGAAGAGAGTTCAGATGGCTGCTGCAGTGTGCCAGTATGCCATGAGGACACCTAACGCTCGCGCCAGAGACATACTACGAAGCACTTTGAAGCAGGGTCTGTGGAAGGATACCAATGCCTGAAACCAAAAAATGTCAACTAAAATAACTTAAATTACTAACAAACATTAATGTCACAGGTAAAGCCATCTGTTCTACTCAGATGTTGACTCTAAATGACCATCATATGTTATGACTCAGACCCTTCTGGCACAGGTGCAAACAGCTGGGTGCTTGGCGATAGACGGTGATGCGAGTCAAGCTGTCATACAGAGACTCCTGTCACAGCACCTTCTCAGAGACGCTCCTTCAGATCACGAGCAGTCAATGATGCTTCACTCCAACATTAGCAGCAAGACTGAGTGACTCTCAGTAGTTTTTGAGTAAAAGATTATATCATTTATGCATGCACGAGGTAAACTAGTTTATCTTATTCACATAAAATCATTTTTCATACACCACTGTTTAGAAGTTTGGGGTTTGTAAAATTTAGTTTTTGAAAGAAGTCTCTTATGCTGACCAAGGCCGCATTTATTTGATCAAAAATATAGTAAAAACTACAATATTGAAATATTATTACACTTTAAACTTACTTTTTAATATATTTGAATCAATTTTGAAATGTAATTTATTTCTGTGATAGCAAGGCTGAATTTTCAGCAGTCATTACTCCAGTCTTCAGTGTCACATGATCCTTCAGAAATCATTCTAATATGCTGATATAGTGCTCAATAAATGTTTTTTTATTATCAATGTTGCCAATTAATATTTTTTGGGAAACCATGATTTTTTTGAGAATTCTTGGATGAATACAAAGTTCAAAAGAACAGCATTTATTTGAAATAGAAAAAAATTGTGCCATTATAAATGTCCTAACTGTTTGATCAATTTAATGCATCCTTTCTACTCAAACTTTTGCATGGTGTTTCCCATCCAGACACTAGTGCGCTCTCTTCTGGCACAAGAGTTAAACAGTGCTAACTGGAGAACACGGGTTCAGGCCTGTACTAGCATTGCACAACTCAGAAGTCCACTAAACAAGGTACCATGTAATTCCTCAGCAAATTTCAGACAACTGTCTACATATCTAATATCTCTAATGGTTGTAGAAAATACTATTGCTTTTCATGAAGGATCTTTGCAACAAACTGATATACATGATGTGGAACGACAGGAGTGGTGCCGTTCGTCACGCTGCAGCACTGGCTCTGAGTAAAATGGATGCGGCCAGAGAGATGCACAGTGAGCTGAGGTGACTATCTCTACCCAACATACATATCAGAGGGTTTGGATTTAGTTCATTCTTAACACGCAATATCTCCACAGTGCGAAGCTGGAGGAGGGTCCAACTGCTTGGCAGGTGGAAGCGCTGATTTTCATTGGTCAGCTCAATATAATGACACCCAAGCTACTGCCTACTTTTCTGCAGTGCTTTAATGATGACTTTGTGGCTGTGCGCAAACAAGCTTGCTTGACTGCAGCATCTCTAATGTTGGATGACCAGTTGGTGAGGAAGTAAAGCACAATAGATCTTTGATGGCATACGGACAATAAAAGACTGTGAAAAAGAAATTGAGGGTTCACTCAAATGACCACATAAAACATGTTCACAGGTCCTGGATCAGCTAATTAACCTGATTCAGAATGATCCATTGTGGGAGATGAAAGTGGAAGCTATTAATGGTAAGTGTGAAAATAAATTAAAGGAAGAGTTCACCAAAAAATGAAAAAAAATTGCTGAAAATGTATTTACTCTCAGGCCATCCATGATGTAGATGAGTTTGTTTCTTCATCGTGACAGAGACATTTAGCATTACATCACTTGCTCACCAGTGGATCTTCTGCAGTGAATGGGTGCCGTCAGAATGAGTCCAAACTGCTGATAAAAACATCACAATAATCCACAAGTAATCCACATGGTATCCAGCGAAAATATGAGTCCTCTATTTATAATACTGCTTTCTCCAGTGAAAACATCGTCTCAGCTGAATCAGGAGAGAAATATGCATAGATCAAGCACCGTTTACAAGCAAAAACAGTCCAAAGCAGTTCTAAACAAATGTCAATGGATTTTGATGTGAGAAGACAACAGGGGACTGGAGGAGATGTTATTATGGATTATGAACAAGTATTTTCACCTGAAGTGATAGTTTAAAGGAATAGTTCACCCAGAAATGAAAATTTTGTCATTAATTACTCACCCTCATGTCATTCCAAACCCGTAAGACCTTCGTTCATTTTCAGAAAACAGATATTTTTCATGAAATGTGAGAGCTCTCAGACCCTGCATAGACAGCTTCCGCCATTTTGGAGAGTACCCAAGAGCGTAATTGACGTAATCAGCGTTGTTTACGTTCGGGGGAGAAAGCGTGCGCATGAACGCAATCTGCGTAATCAGCGTTGTTTACACTTAGGGCAAAGCGATGGCATGCGTATGCGTTGTGATACTCTCTAAAATGGCAGAAGACGTAACTCGGGGGAGAAGAATTGTTGAGAAAAAAAAAATTATTTTTGTTTTGTTTGCACTCAAAAAGTATTCTCGTAGCTTCGCAAAACTGAAGTTGATGTCCTTACTACGTTTCTGGACCTGGGAACATTACAGTTGCGTTGCTGTCTATGCAGGGTCTGAGAGCTCTCACATTTCATCAAAAATATCTTAATTTGTGTTCCCGAAGATGAACGAAGGTCTTACGGGTTTGGAACGACATGAGGGTGAGTAATTAATAACAGAATTTTCCTTTTTGGGTGAATTATCCCTTTAAGTTATTTTTGATGAAATCCAAGAGCTTTAACATTCTTCAAAATATTTTCTTTTGTGTTCAACAGAAGAAAGTAACTCATACAGATTTGGAACAACTTGAGGGTGAGTAAACGATGACAGAATTTTCAGTTTTGGGTGAACAATCCCTTTAAGGTTTGTAAATCAGAAAAAATATTAAGTGGTGAGATAAAAAATATGTTTGTTTCCAACCTGATCAAGATCATGTCTAATTCTGTTCAGCTGCTCAGCTTCAAGTAAAGATGTAGAAAAGCCTTCTGAATCCCGTGGGAGGGCATCGAGCTCCTCCTATAAGATCCATAATACAAATGCTTGACATTATACACCATAACAGTTTAAAATCTATCTCAAAATTAACCATATCTTAGTTTACCTGTGTCATGGTGCCTGATGTTACACATCTGGCTAAAATCTTAGCAGCAGGTGTCACTGTATAGGGTAATGGGGTCCCAGGGATTCATAACAAGCGTTTTTATTTTTTCAGACCTGATGGCAATTAAACAAACAATGAAGCCTAAAAATTTGAGTGTTTCTTCGGCTATAGGCATTTTCATGTCTAAGGGCTTTTTTAAAATTATTATTATTAAAGCTAACAGATTACAACTTATTTATATATATACGTCCTAGGAGCCCCTAAGAGCAAATGGTGATATAATATAATAGTTACAAATATGGGAGGGGATTAAAAATATTATATTTCAATGGTGTAACTTACCGTTAGCCCACAACACTTATATTTCCCCGAGAAACCTTGCGAACTCTCAGTAATTTACTTTGCCCATACTATAGATGTCAATGGCTACCGTCAAGTGTTTGGTTACCAACATTCTTCAAAATATTTTCTTTTGTGTTCAACAGAAGAAAGTAACTCATACAGATTTGGAACAAATTGAGGGCGAGTAAACAATGACAGAATTTTCAGTTTTGGGTGAACAATCCCTTTAAGGTTTGTAAATCAGAAAAAATATTAAGTGGTGAGATAAAAAATATGTTTGTTTCCAACCTGATCAAGATCATGTCTAATTCTGTTCAGCTGCTCAGCTTCAAGTAAAGATGTAGAAAAGCCTTCTGAATCCCGTGGGAGGGCATCGAGCTCCTCCTATAAGATCCATAATACAAATGCTTGACATTATACACCATAACAGTTTAAAATCTATCTCAAAATTAACCATATCTTAGTTTACCTGTGTCATGGTGCCTGATGTTACACATCTGGCTAAAATCTTAGCAGCAGGTGTCACTGTATAGGGTAATGGGGTCCCAGGGATTCATAACAAGCGTTTTTATTTTTTCAGACCTGATGGCAATTAAACAAACAATGAAGCCTAAAAATTTGAGTGTTTCTTCGACTATAGGCATTTTCATGTCTAAGGGCTTTTTTAAAATTATTATTATTAAAGCTAACAGATTACAACTTATTTTTATATATACGTCCTAGGAGCCCCTAAGAGCAAATGGTGATATAATATAATAGTTAAAAATATGGGAGGGGATTACAAATATTATATTTCAATGGTGTAACTTACCGTTAGCCCACAACACTTATATTTCCAATTGACATTTTTTCCAGGAATTCTTCAGTACAGTGATGACACAGCCATGATGCGATGCGTTGCAGATTCACTCCTCACCAGGATGGCGTTTGATGAACGAGACATGGCTCGAAGGTATGTTATCATTGGAAATGACTAAAAGAGTCCTTTTAAGCAAGTATTGGATTTTCCTGATCATCTTATTTGATTCCAGATTTGCAAAGGAGTATAACCTTGCTCCGGGGCGAGGTTACGGCTCAGGTGTCATACAGGTACTGCGGAAGCTTGCGTCGCCCCATCTGAAGGACGTCTTCCAGCCGGCACAGGCTCAGTTTGGCGGCCGCGGTTCTTTCGGGAATGGAGGTGCCATGAGAGCGGCACCCTTTGCCCTGGCCTTCAAAAGTCGTGCTGATGTCTGCAGGGTAAATAGTCATCTGATTGTTGAATCTAAGCTAGTAGCATTCTGCACTTCAAACATTTTTGACATTTTGAATTGCTCATAAAAAGAATGAGCAATAGCTTTAGACTTTATATAATGAGGATTCATATAAATGGTTCTCAACCTGGGGGCCTCAAGATGGCTAAACATCTTTAAAGTAATCAATTATTATTAATATATTAAATCAATAATTAACTCAAATCTATATAAGAATGCTAAAAACACATAAATCAACATGTAAAGTGAATCATAATTCTTTCTTAATCATTTTTACTGAACAACATACAGTTCTCGAATTTTTTATTTTGTTATGCTGGTTGAAAGTCTCTTCACATCCCGAGAGCAATCAATAAGTTAAGTGGTCTATATGTATTTATATCATCTTTGGAAGGCGTAGGACCATAAAATGTTCGACCAATCAGATTATTCGGTCCGAACATTATGATAACAGTTAACGTATGTATTTGCATACCTCCATGCGCCCTGTTCACACAGACATGATATGTCATGAGCACGTTCGATTACGCTGTTGCAGACCGAGCGAGAATGTAAGGCGTTATTATTGTAATATTATGTGCTTCGTCTCACCGGTGAATGAGACATGAGATAATCTGACAGCGTTGCATTCAGTTCTCCACTAACGCCGTCTCTCATTGTGTCGCTGCTGAGTCTTTGGTCTACCTGTGCACGTTCATGTTTTTTGGTGGAGGCATGATTATGCAGGAAAGGTGGGATCTTGCTTTCAAAGCTATCTTGCTATTGCTAGCCTTTCCAAAATCACCCACCCTACCTTTAATATGAAAGGCTAATTTGGACTGTCCCAGGCTAACATTCTGTCCTTCCATTTACTTTTGGCAGTACTCTCGGCTTGGCGCAATGTTAACACACTCATGCTCTTTGGGCTACAATGGGGCAGCGTTGCAGGCCCTTGCTGTTCATCTGTCTCTCCAAGGCGCTTTGGCTCTGCCAAAAGAATTCATCAACAAACTGATATCAGAAATGGAGGAGATGGAAATAGATGAAACAGCCCAGCTTGATGCTAAAGCGTAAGTGAACTCATGGAAAGAACAAATTTTAAGCTGTATGTTTCTTAAATGGATAGTTTACTCAAATGAAAAGTATGTCATCATTTACGTTGTTCCAAACCTGAATGACTTTCTTTCTTCAGTAGAACTTAAAAGAAGACATTTTGATGAATGTTTAAACCGTTTGTTGTTGTTTGTCCATGCAGTGTTGTTATCATTAACTAAAACTAATAAAAGTTATTTTAGTTTTTTAAAATAAAGCTATTTGAAAATAGTATGAAAAATTAAGAACTACGAACTAAGAAATAGTAATTACTACTTTTAGTACTCAAATTACTAAAATTGAAATGAAAAATAAGTTAAAGCTAAATAATAAAAATAAATAAATAGTCCCACAACAAAATTTCCAAAAACTTAAACTAAAATTAAAATAAAAACTGAAAATATAAACATTTATTAAAAATATTAATAAATACTATGATGGTATATAAATAAAACTAATATAACACTGTCCAAATGACATTGGACCCCACTGTCTTTCATTTTATTGACAAAAAAACATTTTACAAAATGTCTTCTATTGAGTTCCACAGAAGATAAAACAGGTTTGAAGCAACCGTAATTTCTGAAAGAAATTTTATTTTTAGATGAACTGTCTGTTTTATTTCACTATGTTTTATTCCACAGACTCAATTTATCAGATTTCCCATATTGCTCACGATTGCACAGAGTGAAAGAACTTATGGACAGAAACAGTGTGAGCATTGAGGAGGTCATATCTGAACTGGGTTAGTATCGATTACTATTGATTAGCTTTGATCGGATCATTCATAAAGGCATTCTGCTGTTTTTCTTGAAGTTGACACTCTTTCTTTGTGTTAGGGAATGGCATCGCTGCCTTGCAGTCCGTGCCCACCGCTATCTTCTGCGTGCTGCATTGTTTGGAGCCCCGGGATGGGCTGCCAGAGCGATTCGGAGGACTGGAGAGGACAATAGCCTACAGCTTGGCTCTGGGTGGTGACACTGACACCATTGCTTGCATGGCAGGGGCAATCGCAGGGGCACATTATGGCATTGACTCCATTCCTCAGAGCTGGCAGAAGAGCTGCGAAGGGGTGGAGGAGGCAGATGATTTAGCGAGACGTTTGTATGATCTTTACTGCCTTCCACAGTTTGAAGAGGACAGGGGGACATCAAGCTGTGAAAACAATCAACCGCACACACACGCCAGTGATCAACACACTGCAAAAACTGACTGACCCACTACATGGCCATATGCAACATGCAGCCACACATAAGTGAAACTTCACCTGGCACACAGTGTCAAATGCACTTGCTAATATACCATCATCTATGTTTATAAAAATGTGAAACTTGTGCAAAAGGTTTACAATAAAAAGAACAAAATGGCACCATTTGATTGGTAATGATCTTGTGTTTTGTCCTTTCTTTACTTCACATTTAACACTGTTCTGAAAACTATATAGAGTGGGGGTTTGAAGTTCACTAGTCAACATGTCTCTCTTTTTTGTGCATTTTAATTTAGTACTAATTTAATTTTTTTAATCACAATAAAATATTCCACGTTTTGAAGAAACCTTAATGAATACAACAGGTAAAAATAAAAGAAATATGTTGCAAACATTTCTCTTTAATACATGTGTACATGCTTTGGTCATTCTTCATTAGATACTTTTCTCATTATTGTAGCTTAATATTTGTTAAAATCTTCTGCTCTTAGCTCAGTGTGACATAAAATAATTCTACAAAAAAGTTTTAGAACGTTGGATAGGACTATAAAGGCGAGAAATTCACTTGTTCACTTTGTGGCGAGTTAAGGAGTAGTTATCATCGACGGTGTTTACAGTTGTTGATAGCGTTTTTATCGTGTGGTGAATATGGGACAGCGACTTTCCCGGAGAGAAAAGGTGGAGGAGGGAGGTCAATCCCGAACACCAGTTACACCCACCGACCACAAGGCGGAGGTTCATCCCTCGTCCTCCTGACGAGACGCCTGTGGGTATCGGTGAGGGTGAAGGCGGGCAGGAGGAGAAAGGGCGAGAGAAATGCCTAGAGCCTAAGAAAAGGAGGCTGAAAAGAGGAGGTTCATGAGGCTTGCCTCCTTTTTCTGTTGTTTGTCTCGCCCCAAATCCACCAAAGCTCATGATGAACAGGTGGAGCAGGGTGAGGTGGACCAGGACGCTGACGCCGGACCATCCAGGAGGTGTTCTGATGGTAAATGACATGTTTTATCACCAAAGCTCGTTACAAAAGTCTCTTAATCATTTACACACAATAATAACAAACACAAAACCCATTACTCAGCAAAAAATGTCTTTCTTATACTTTATTTGTCATAATATAGTTAGATGAAATAGTATAATTAATTTGATATAATATGGTAGTATAGTATAATATTAACTTTTCAAACTAGTCTAAAGTACCCCTAAATGAAGAATATGATATATTATTTTGGTTGATATTCCTCTTTTTCGATCGGACTTCTCTACAGGACATTGTCTGTACTGTGGAGGACAATGATCATCAGGAGCCTCCTTCCAGTAGTCCTGAAGTCTACGCCAATGCCGAGGACCAGCAAATGAAGGACGATGAGCCTCAAGATCAGGACAGTCCAGTTAGTCCGTCAGCAGGTGAGAGATATCTGCTGAGACAAGGACGGCCTTCCGGTGGCCGTGAAATTTGTAGCCAAGACGGAGAATGTGCAGTACATCAGCCTTGTAAGTAGATTGTGCTCCCTGTGTCATCTCCCCTCAGTCACTGC